AGGTGTGGTCCTTGTGCGCTGCCTAGACTCCTCTGCTGGGTGAGCTCTGGGATAATGCTACGCTGAAATTTCATGTGCTGGCGGCCAAAATTCAGAGATAGCACACAGAAAAGGGGCAGTATGGAATACACCCGAAATAAAAGGTCATTATCAGTAAACGAGCCCTACCCCTTCCCCACTTCTTAAATGCTACCTGGGATGACAGACTGTCAACCCTAACACAGCCTCAGAGCCCATCCTAACTTCCTCCCTCCACAGACAGGGAAACCGAGTCCTAGACTTAAGATCACAGAGAGAAGCCAGGTCTTTTATTTCCTAGGTGAGTATAGGAAGGTCCCAGTGGATAAGAAGATAGGGGGCCTACATTACCTTCCAAAAACTGTGGGAACAGCTTGTCCAACACCTGATGCGTCTCCCTGACGATGGCCCAACTATCCTTCTCAGGACCTGAGGCAGGTGAAGAGCCAGTTCACATTTCCTCCCCACCCCTGCTCCGAATCGTGGCAGTCTAGACCACGAGGCTCTTACCTGCCTGTACCTGGTTCCTCAGTTCCTCCAGCTCTTGTAGAAGGGGTCCATCTTTCTTCAGGGCTCCGAGCAGCAGCCCATGTGTGGCAGCCCTCAGGACAGCCTCAGGGCCTGCCATCTGGCTCAAAACTACCTGTACCTGGTCTTCAGAGACCCAGGGGAAAACAGCGTTATCAGGGAAGGGCTACTACCCCGAACACCCTCAACCCTATCACTCCTCTTCACCTGTTTCCCCCAGAGGCCTTCACCAGAAGATCAAGGGCCCTTTCCTTAACTTCCTGAGCAACTTCATTTCCTGTTGCTTTCCAATGCTCTGGCCAAACTGAAATGCCCTACGTTCAAACACAGTTTCACAGCACCTCACTGAGGTGAGCTAGTGAGAATGAATACCATCAGCAGATCAGCGATCTCAAGGACTGGTTTTGCCAAGCAGAGACTCAGAGAGAAGAATGCTTCCAGGGGGCCGGCCAAAGGGCATCATCCTGTTTGAGTGTGTGGCGATATACGAACTGCTTTTACATGACCACCTCATATGACTCACAGGAAAACGTTACAGGTAATAAGTTAGCCATGGGAGCTCCCTTTTACAGAGGAATAAAACCAATTTCAGTGAGGCAGCACCTACACTGCACAGGCCATCAGCTTCCGTCTGGCGTGCTCATCAGGACACAGGCAGTCTCTAAACTGAGGGAGGGGATGAGGTGACTGCAGGAAAGTGAGGCTAAGGCTGGGAAAAATGGCACACTCACTTCGTGACTGGTTCCAGTAAAGGAGATAGGGTTCTTGGTGCCCCTCAACCAGCTGCTGCAGCTCAGAGACACTGGTGGAGAGGAGATGGCAGTGGGGCAGGAAGAAAGCAAACACAGGAGCATCCACCTGGTCAAACAACTCAACCCTACCTGTCCATTTCAACCTTTCATTTGCTTGCCATCCATTCCTTCGCTGTTACCCGTGCAGTCCACACGCACCCTTCCTCTCGTGTACCCAGTCACCCATCCTCTCCGTTCACCACCCTTCCTCCGTCCAACAGAGATAACTCTTCTATGTGCTCTGTTACACGACCGATGCCCTCAAATACTCACGCCGTCCTCAAGTCCGTTACTGGAAATGAAAAACCTGGTACGGAGGTGGTCCCTGCTCAGAGGAGGCCAGTGTGTACCAGAGCAAAAGCACACGTGGTAGAAGTGATGCCTGGGAGACACCGGGCTACTCACCTGGAGACCAAGCAGTGTAAAGGAACCCCTAACGACAGAGACGGAGATGACCAAAAACCTGTGGGAAGCTGAAGTCAGGATGCACAGAAATGGGGAAAGGCTGGGAGACACAGGACTTGAGACCGAGGGCTTGGGTCACCTGTCCAGAGTGGCTCCATCTGATTGGCTGAAGCAGTGTCCAGCACCTCTCCCCTCTGCAGAAAGTGCTTCAAGACCAGCCGGAGCCGGTTCTCATTCAGGGTCTCCATGACGAGGGCACGGATCGCCCGGTAGTTGGCATAGATGTGGAGGGCAGTGAGGAGGAAGAAACATCCGAGGCTGAAGCTGAGGCGAGAGTGAGATAGCCAGTAGGGGAGAAGCCCATTTGGATAGCTCCTCCCCACCGCTGCTCCTGGCTTACCTGGGGCGATAGGACACCAGAGGAAGCAGCACGAGGCTGACCAGGAGCCCTGCTAGGTTCACCAGTGTCTCCTGGAAAGTGGCAGAGAGGTCAGGCATTGGAGTGTTACCCTCAGCCCAAATTTCACATCCTTGAGTGCTTTTCACCATATTCCTCCCTGCTCTGGAACTTCCTAGGGCTCTGAAGGGGGTGCCAAGGAAATTTGTAAGAGACAGGCGCTCATCTGCCCAGGCAGATAACAGTCCCTAACAATGCTCCTGGAACATGTCTTCGGCTTTGCAGCAATAGTTGGCTGAGTAGCCCCATGCTCAGGCACTCCCTATGGTTTTGGGGCACTGTTATACAGTGGTAAAAGGTGGATCTCTCTCAAATCTCTTAGCATGCAATAAATGGCAACCAAATTCAAAAAGGGGTCAAGAACTACACAGGAAGCAAAGGACAGGACCCAAGCTCTTGTCTTGTGAATCGATGTTATCAGAACCCTCTGGTGGCCAGACTGATGTCATCCTAGGGGAAAAGTCTGAGGCTGTCGTCCCCCAACTCATCACAAGGGAGGAAGGAGTCTGTACTGGTGTCTGTACCTACTGGAGCTCCAGGGAGAGCTGGTCCTGGCACCCAGGGGGCCTGAGGCTAGAGAGCTCTTTGTACTCAGTCCTTCTGGCAAAGGGGTAGGCTGTGGGAGTAAAGGCTGTGGATGAGCCAGCAAATTGGGGACCAGGAGCAGAGGGACCTCCTCTTTCTCATGTGAGAAAATAGTCATTTCCAGGAGGAGGGGGTGAAGGGAGGGCTGGGACAAGGGGAAAAAATGAGAACCAAGACCTATCATGTAAAGGTACAAGATCCCAATGATGAATGTAACTGTACTGTATACCTAAAATGTACCAACAAACTCAACGAGGAAAACAAAAGAAAATAAGTCATTTCCAGCAGCCACACAGAATGGTTAGGAAAGCAAAAATCAGCAGAGAGCAGGGCCTGCCGCAGGACTGATGCCTAGGCTGCCCTGGAGCCTTGGAACAAACAGCAGCAGAGGCAGGGAGATAGCAGGTAAAAGAGAACAGGCACAAAGCTGGGGACCCTAACGAGAAGGGCCTGGATTGTATTTATTCCTCTCACTCTTTTTTCCCCCCAGCAATGGGGATTGAACCCAGGGCTCTCACAGTAAGCTATGTCCCCAGCCCTTATTTTTAGACAGGGTCTTTAACGTTAAACGGTTAAGTTGCCCAGGCTGGGCTCAAACTTGCCATCCTCTGGCCCCAGCCTCCCAGAGTGCTGGGATTGCAGGTGTGCACACCTTGCCTGGCTTATTTCTCCTACTTTGAACAACCTGTGTAATGAGAGCTGGAAGAGACTGTGAGGAAGAACTAATACAACCACTTTCTGAGCGAAGGGAGTGGGCCAAGGGCACCTAGCTAGATTGGCCCGTTCTATCTTTTATTTTCTCATGCCTTTTATTTCTCCAGCCTCAGCCTTGGTTGTTGTGTCATTGTTTTCTTGTTTTGTTTATTTGTTTTTTCCATACCCAGGGATCGAACTTAGGATCTTATACTTGCCAGGCAGGCACAGTGCCACTGAGCTACATCCCCAGCTCTTTCAGCCTTGTTTTTCAGTACAGTAACAGGTAATTGGAAGAAACGCTAAGAGGAAAAGCTGTGTGCAATTCTGCACTGTTGGACTCAGAGCCAGGCATGGTGGTACACGCCTATAATGTCAGCACTCTGTGTGTGTGTGTGTGTGTGTGTAAGAGAGAGAGAGACAGGGTCTCACTGTGTAGCCTAGGTTGGCCTTGAACTCACAACAATCCTCCTGCCTCAGCCTCCTGCGTGCTGGGACTATAGGTGCACACTACCACACTCAGGCAATGGCAGTGCCCTTTGAAGCTGAGACAGGAGGATCACATTTGAGCCCAATCTGGGCAACTTAACAATTTAACAAAAACTTGTCTCAAGATACAAAATAGCAAAAGTAGATGTAAATTTGTGCAAAATCCTAAGATCAGGCCAGGTGTAGTGATATATGCTTGTGATCCCAGCCAGAATTTGAGAGGCTGAGCAGAATTGTTGAGTTCGAAGCCTCAGTTCTCAGGGTACTCAAGGTTAGCAAGAGAATGGCTATGACATTAGAATGGCAACTGAGTCATAGGATGCTAAACTGATAATGTGTAAATTAATCATTGGGTGCAAAGTTAGTGAACAATTATCTCATTGTACATACTAAATATTTATCTGTTTTAGTATTGAACTAAAGCATAATTTTATCATTTCAAGAATGTCCAATAAGAATACAACAACCAAATGGTCATTCTTTTATGCCTTTTAGATATGGATGAATAAGCAATGGGGAGAGAATTTAAAGAAACTATAGTTAGGGTGGTGGAGCAGCCCAGAGGCGGAGCACTTGCAAGCACAGGAAAGGCCCAGGGTACATCCCTAGCGCTGGAAAATAATAAATAAATAAATAAACCGAAGTGACTGTAAAGGAAATTTTGTGATTTAAAAAAAAAAAAAGATCAGAGGTGGTGGTGCACACCTGTAATCCCAGCACTTCGGAGGCTGGGGCAGGAGGATCACTACAAGTTCAAAGCCAGCCTGGACTACATAGTGAGTTCAAGGTCAGTGTGGACTACATAGCAAGACCCTGTTTAAAATAAAAAAAAAAAAAAGGTAAGAAAAGCCACCTAAACCAAGAAATAAAGGCTGGCATAAACCTATGGGAATAATGTCAGAATGGCTGTAACTCCGAGGGAGCTGACTCAGGTTATGAAACATGTTATCAACACCAAAAAGGGTTTTCTAATGGCTAGATTTGGAGCACAACGAAGAACAAGGAAGAAATGGGCCGGTTGCTTGGAGGATGGTGTCACATTGACAGATGACCACGAGAAAGCAGAACCTCTCAACTTTCATCAGGTTTCTTTTCTGTAAAGAGAATGATGCTCAAGGTTAAAATGTTTTAGCCTTGGAGCTAAAAGGAAACAGTGCAAAGGAGTGAACAATGAAGGTTGGAGGTGTAGCTGCAGGCGGCACACTTGCTTGCCAAACACAAGGTCCTGGGTGTGAGTCCCAGAACTATAATCAATTAATGAATCAACAGACGCGAACTCAGCTGTATTCCCCAACCCTTTTCATTTTTTATTCTGACACAGGGTCTCGCTAAGTTGTCAGGCTGGGCTCAAATTTAGGATCCTCCTGCCTCAGTCTCCCAGAGGACTAGGATTACAGATATGCAGCGCTATGCTCAACTTCCCTGATAAAATTACAAATTTCGTATTCTTTAGATGATTTGTCAGCAACAAATACTGGAAACAGTGGGAACTACTCACGCTAAAGCAAACTCACTTCCTGTTTTCACAGTGGTACAGTACATTACAACACTGCTAGACCAGAGAAACCTGGGCCTTGACTTGCTTTCTGCTTTGACACCAAGAGAGAAAGTGTTTCAGGAAACTCTTACAGATGCTATGAAGAAATATGAGCAAGCAGAGTTATAGTGATTTGGAGAGTCTATAGTAATTTGACCATTCATATTTATTTTTAAAAGCAGTGAAAAATTAAAGGACTTACCCCCCCCAAAAAAAAGTGGTGAAAAGAATAACAACAAAAACTGGTTGGCACCTACTTCTTTCAAAACTCTGGAAGTTAACCAAAGCTTGCAGCAGCCCGAGGAATTCTTCAAGTAGTTGACAGCTAGGTGCAGTGGTACATGCCTGTGATCCTAGCACTCTGGGAGGCTGAGGCAGGAGAACTGCAAATTCAAACCCAGCCTGGGCAACTTAGAGGGATTCTGTCTTAAAACATACACACATACACTATACATAGGAAAGAAAGAAGAGCTGTAGCAAAAAGCAGTTGAATCTTGGGAAGAAGAACTTGCCTTAGTCCTGGCTTTCATGCTCCATCTCTCTTGAGAACTCAAAAGCACCAGCACACCTCCTTAGTACAGCCTGGCAGCTGAGGAGGGGACAGAAGGAAGCTGGAGTTCTTCCACAGCCTTAGTCCCAAATAAATGTCATATTCGGGCTATACAGAAGTGACCTTGCTCATAAGCTGCCCATGTTTTACCTGAGCTGGAGTGTGCACAGTGAAAAAAGCCTCCTCTCCAATGGGGCTTGTCAGAAACATTTCCAAGCAAGTGTTTAAATTTTGTCACTACCTGAATTGGTGGGCAGCCTTTGGGGACTAAGCAAACAGCTCAAAAGAAAAAGCTGGTTGTGGGGGAGCTGGGAAGAGCAAAGCTCAGTTTGGGGAGTGAGGTGAATTCAAGGCCAGCCTGAACTAAACAGCAAGATGCTGTCTCAAAAAAAAAAAAAAAAAAAAAGACATCTGGGAAGATGGCAGAATGGAGGACAGCAGGGAAATAGCCTCTCTGAGATTTGGTGTCCAGATGCTGGAATACAGGAAGGTGAAGAAGACAAGGAAGGAAATGGGATCCAACAAGGATCTGAAGTAAGAACTGAAGCCCACGGGAAGAGCAAGGAGGGAGACGTCAGTGAAGGAGGTGGGAAGGGGCACTTTCTCCGAGCCTGGATTCACAGTGTGGGAGAGGAGGTTCAGATCTGCAGACACACCATGACTACTGCAACCCCAGAGGCCTCCAGGAAGAAACACACCAGTGTAACAGAGCAGTGGGTGCAGTGGATTGCAGCAGCTGCTGAGTTATCCAGGTTCAATGTCCCTGAGGAGAAGGCAAATGGCTGGTAGCCATCTTGGAGAGGGGCCAGCTGAGCTCAGAACTCAGAGCAGCTGAGCTCTCCATCAGGCTGGCTCCATCAGGGTGAAGGAGAACAGAGTTCAAATCAGCAGGAGGTCAAGGAACCAAATTCAAGCCAACAGGAAGCGAGTCTCAACCCCACAGGAGGCACACGGAATAGCGGAGGCTGAACAAATTGGGTTCCAGCCTCACAGCCAGAAATCAGCCTGAGGGCCAGGGATTTAGCTTGGTGGTCCTGCCACCTGCCTCACAAGGTCCCGAATTCGATCCCTGGTACCAAAACAAACAGAAACCAGCCTGAATTTCAATGAAACTAAAGGCGCAGTCTTGCTGGGATTACCCACTACCCCACTGTAAATCT